TTCATGGCATGGAAGGCAGAGAAAAATTAACAAATGTATACGTATGATCTAGAATGATTGGTGAGATTCTTAAGAAGCAGAGTATTCTGCTAAAGTTACAAAAGTGTTCTTATTTATCAAATTGTTTATATGCTTGCTGCTCTATCATATGCTTTACAAGGCATTTAATTGAATAAATCAAGTTGCCTATATCTAAGACTTCACCTTCCTAAGCAGATTTTAAAATAGTGTGGTAATTAACCTATTCTAATTTTATGTTTCTTTCCTTTGCACAGCCATATTCAGGCCCTTTACGAAGATCACAATACCTCATAACATTTTATGGCATACTGCACAAACAAGGAATATAAATAGCCCTGGATTTAGCCAGATTACTGGCCAATTCAGTCATTGAATCAAGTACCATAACTGTTCATTACTACACAGAAGGAAACCAGTTGAGAAAAAGAAATGTTACCGTGAACTGGCTGCAAACCTTGAGGCCTACTAGAAATGGCTCAGACAGGATTAAATCACAATACAGTACTTGTGGAACAGAAACAGGCAAACCAACAACAACTCTAATGACATATTGAGTCCTTCACGGATGGGAGATAGGAAGCAAAGAGCTTCTTTTAATTCTTTCTATTATTTTTAATTTCCACATGGATATTGTACTCGCTGACAGGTATCAGTCCTATTCCTTAGGCTTACTTTTGTGATGTAATTATGGGTGTGCTTTTAATTGCACCAAGCTTAGAACTGAAAAAGCATACAGAACATTTGAGCTGTGAAGAACACTACTTGAAAGAAATCAAAATCTCTGCTTGATACCAGTAAGTTTCCTTTCCACAACAATCTTCTGAAGACCCCCCAGGTAGATACATTTGGGAAGATTAGCCCTTCATTAGTCAGCAACAGAAGTATTATAGCTTTATCCTGCCACCAATTTCTTAGTGTGACAAGATCTTAATCACAAAGGAAAACCTCCCTGGTTTCAATTTAACTGTTTTAGACAAGTTCAGTTCAGTTCAGTTATTCAGTTTTAAACAATGCCTGGGGTCAAAGCTTGAGCCTTGTTTTCAAATTAAGAGATGAAGGAAAACTAAAATGATTTACCACCCCATTCTCCTCATTCTGGGATGATGATGCTTTCCCCAATTTTTTTTAAAGCAGAAAGTTAATCTTAAAAAAATATCCTCTGGAACAATATTGGCTGTTTTTTTACTCAAAAAATGTCAAATGAATAGGTGAGATGGACTTTCCTCCAAGATCCCACACCTTACATATGTTCCAAAGAAGACAGGTATGTAGCATAACAAAAAGAAAAGTGTTCAACCCATAATATGAGGGTGGATCCGAAAAGTTCTGCAGAAGGAATGCAGATTTAAAGTATGACAGCGGAGAACAAGTATATCTGCAGAATGAGCTCATATTGATTTTCTTAATTCAATTGTTTATACATTCTCTTTTATTTCATCCCAAAGGTAGACGGTGATACATCCACAATACAGCTCACCTTCAGACCAAAGAAGTTAAAGTAAATGACACATAGACAGAATCTGTCCTACTGCATTACTTAATCTGAAGCAGCTGTTCTTCTACTACTGAAGTCGATAAAACCAGCAATAGGATAATCCCAATTAAATGTGAATTAGGAAGATGGAAAATCCCATTTCTTAAGTACTAAGTACAAGTACGGAAAAGCAATGAAAGTGTAATCAGCACTGGAAAATACGAGCCTGTTAAATCCAACATCTAGCATGCATTTTTGTTTGTTTTATGTATTTTAGAAACTGCACTTCTCCCTTATAGGGTAACTCTGGGTGGTGTACAAATAAAATGTTAAAAACTGAGCATAAAATTTTAAAATAGAAGCAAACATAGTAAAATTCAACCATAAAAGGTAAATTAAAAGGCAGGGAAGGCGCCTTCAGGGCAGTAACAAGACCCACAGGAGCCATGTGTTCCTCACTGAACCCCAAACTAGAACTGGTAGATTCAAGTCTTCAGATATTTTTGAAAGGTCAAGAGAGTGGGGGGCCCACCTCACCTTTGGAGAAAGAATATTCCAAAGGGCATAGCCTACATATAGTGTAGGCTTCTTCAAGTGATGCCCCACCCCAATGGCCATTCTCATTGGGAATTCTGGCTCCAGAGGGCTCCAGAAGAGACTGCTCCATTCCAGATTCTCTTGCTTGTCTCAACAAGGGATGTGTTTAAAATAGTTCATGCAACACTACCACTTGGACATTATTCAGGATATGATTAAGGATGGTATTTAATACTTTGCACCTGAGAGAGCAAATCGTTGAGTTTAAACCCTACCCTAACTAGACCCCTTATTATTTTTGTCACCCATGTACAGTAGTTCTTCTGGAGAAGCTGATACTGAAGGAACTGCACTCTGCACATCAATGTTTCTTAACCCTTTTATCTTCCTTCATTTGAAAATTATAGTGGAGACCCCAGTTTATGTTCGTATGGGTTATATTTATCAATATTTACCATATGAACAATTAAAAAGGATGCATTCACTGCACTACTGCTTCTCACAATTGTTTGATGGGATTTTAATACTGTATTATTTTTCAGCAAATGATTTTTTTTTCCCCCATAGAACCCTGAGAGAAGTTTCAGGGACTTCCAGGTCAACGCTGTAGTCCTCACTCCTAGGTCACTGCACCTTAAGAAACAACTGCTGTACATGTTTAGAAGCCTGTTTCTATATATTATTTACGGTTACAAATGTTTTAAGAAGCAATCAAGGTATTGAAACCCCATCTGATAAAATCAACCGTTCTGTCAATCAAAATTGCGGTATTTGTCCCCAGAGGTAGAAAATGACTTGCCCAGAAAAACTTTGTAGTCTCTAAAGTCAGCGAGATCTATCATCTTTCCAGAGATCGGCTTTCCGTAACCTGGCATCCTTCCAGATGTGTTACACTAAGTTACCTGGGAAAGGTTTTATTATAAACGGGAAGGTATCAAAGCACACAGCAATAGGAATTGATTGATTTACACAAACCAGACTATTGTGATTATCCCGGAGTCCCAACAGCGGTCCAGGGAATCAGCAAGGGATTTGGGGGCCCCAATCCTACTCAAAGATTTTGACCTTCTCCGCGCGCAAAATGTTTATCCGTGTGCGCTTTTCTGTTGCCAACCAATTGCGCAAAAATTAAATAAATAAATAAATAAAAAATCCGGAAGCAAAGTCGGCCGATTCCGCATCCTTTTCAACCCCCCATCTTTCCTTCTCTGACCTCAGAGAAGCCCGCAGCCAACTCATCCTGAAGTGGATCACTTGAAACCCGGCTAGACGCCCCCCTCGGAGTCCAAATGCTTTCTTCCTTTCAGGTGTTCCGAAAGCGCGCCGCCTCCTTACCAGGGAGAGGACTTTGTAAGAGGGGTCCTTGTTTTTCCCTTTGAGCGCCGCCGCCGTTGCCGTTTTCTCCGGCTCCTCCGACACCTCCAGAGCCGGCAGCATGGGCACCGCGGCTGAACTCGGCGGCTCTGCCGCGTCAGGAAGGAAACTTTTCCCTGGGCCGTTAGCAGCTCCTTCGCTCGCCATCGCCCCCGCCGCGCCTGAACTCGATTGGACTGGATCTCCGCCTGGTGCAGCCTCGGTTAATAAGCTGCTGTGATCCCACCTCTTCTGCTTCGGACTTTTAAAGACTCCGGATGCTTTTGGTTTCCCGTCTTGGTTCGGGGGCCCCCGCCCACCAGCCCACCCCACCGCACCCGCGCTCTCGGGGGATTTAGTGGGTTCCCATTTGCTTTGGCAGGCGTCTTCCCCAAGGGGTGGGGGGAGTTTGGGTGGTGGTGGGAAGAGACAAGCTGTTCCTTTGCAAGAAACCGAATAGATGCGGCATCATTAGCATGACTAGCATTATTGCTAGAATTATTGTAGCATAGGTAGAAGGAGGAATCGCCCGACTGGAATGTAATTAGAGGCTTGGCCAGAAGGTGATTGGCGTTCTTTACGCGCGGGGTTGAAGGTCCAGCGTTTCTCCTGCAATATTGTGTGTGTATATGCGTGTGTGTGTGTGTGTGTGGAGAGGAGAAGAAGGGAGGGAAAGTCGGGAGAGCAGCCGCCGCCTTTACACAAATTTTCCAGAAGGCAAAGCCATGGGGTTTCATGTCTAGGCTGAAAAAAAAAAAATCTATGTTCTGGAGGCTCGGTAGAAATGGCTTGCTGTCTTGAATAGAGTAGAGTAGAGTAGAGTAGAGTAGAGTAGAGTAGAATAGAATAGAATAGAATAGAATAGAATAGAATAGAATAGAATAGAATAGAAT